TTGTAATACTTTGGAACCACTATAAGTGGCGTGAAAATCAACATTCATGGCTTTTTTTTTATGTAGAGTTGAAGAATATCTTTATTTTTAAATAAAGGGTTTGTTTTAATTCTGAGAGTTAATGTCTTGATAAAATGTCGAGAAGTCGCCAATGGAATCTTGCTTACCACACGGACAACACATGGTTTTTCATAAAGACTGATATGGCCGAAAATACTTGAACCAATTAAACAGAATAAACTTTGGACAGTTTATCCATAATTTCGATCCAGACATACATCTTACTAGAAAATTCCACCCACACTAAAAAAAAAAAGAGACACTTGTCGAATAAATTTTTAAAAAAATTGTTATATATACATTAGTTGAAACAGACGCACCATTTTTAGTTGTTTATTTATCAAACGGTGTGTCATACGTATATCGGCCTGAACATTGAAACAATAAAAATGTCGGATAAAAAATAAATATATTTCTTCCTTAGAAATTATATATATATATATATATATATATATATATATATATATATATATATATATATATATATATATATATATAATTATTATTACCTAAGATTATTTTTTAATGGATACCTATATTTGATTAGACGCACCGTTAATTTATTCAACAGTATATTTATTTTCTTCTAATGGCCTGATTGTTCGAGAAATATTATTAAAGATATGCTTTCTCCATTTATTCAAGAAAATCTGTCAGGTTAATAAATAAAAATTGATCACTTATGTGGGTATATATATATATATATATATATATATATATATTAGTGATGGTATGTCATATATATATATATATATATATATATTAGTGATGGTATGTCATATATATATATATTAGTGATGGTATGTCATATATATATGTGTGTGTGTGTGTGTGTGATGGCATGGTATATTTATGATTTAAGGTACTCAATATCAGGGATGGAGTATATGTAAATATAAAAGTGGACACTGAGTTCAACACACAGCGTCGACAGTCTGTTTCATGCTGATATGCAATCTTCAGATATGGTCTTATAAAATGCTCTAGACAGAGTATGGTATGTGATCATGAGTAACGACACCACGTGGTTTTGGCGAGAGACAGAATATTTGGTAGTTTCCGCAAATCATATCATTACACAAGTCCCACATCGATTTCATATATTTAAAAAATCTTTTTATACTTTTATATGCGCACATGTAATTCTTACATTTTGGCTTTTATATAAATATTAAAAAAAAAAAAAAGAAACTCTCAAGAATCTGTACAGAGCATTCTGTTATGAATTGTACTTATATATGTGTGTGTGTGTGTGTGTGTGTGTGTGTGTGAATAATATTTTTCTGAAATTAATTATGCATATAATTTTGTTTTTTCGCAAGCTCAAATCCGACCACCGCTTAGAAATTGTACACGGAGGTACAGATTTTCCAGATTGTGTTTAAATATATTTAAAAATACTCCGGATATGTTTCTAACTACTGGCACCATCGTCATCTTATTTTCAGCAGAAATAGTTCATTTTTTGAATATCATAAAACTGTGTTTACTTCAAAGCCTACTATGGGTAACGCGTGGATGTAGATTTAGAAGCGTCTGTTATGCGTGTAAAATGATAACTTTATCTTCAGCCTTTTTTTCAGGTGTCTCCCCACTACAGAAGGTGTACCCCGAAGGTATTGCACCGAATGACACCGACCAGGATTAAGTAATTATTATTATTATTATTATTATTATTGTTATTATTATTGCTGCTTTTACTTATCAATTTTCATTCGTTATCGTTGAATTTTCACACCGGTCTTAACTTTGTTTTTACGGGAGATCAAGTGACAACAAGATCCTTCACCTGTCCCGCCGTCTCCGTAGGCTCCTTATTTTACTAATGCTGTCGATCAGACCGTATTCTCTCTCATATATATATATATATATATATATATATATATATATATATAGCTATTTGCAAGGTTTTGGGGTGACTCTTCCAAGTGTTCTATTAATGTTGGGTAACACTGGCATTTTCATGTTCTCCAGTTCTTCCAGATATCGCGTTAAAAAGAGATATATTTCGACCATTTTCGAATTCATAAATATTTACACCGAGCTCAGTTGAAAGAAAAATTCACAGTTTGACCAATCTGACCACTTGTTTGCGAAACGATTGATATCATATCTCAGCACCTTCCTCAGTATTCTTCATTACATTGCATACATTTATATGTTCATAGTAGATGTCCATTGGTTATAGCTGGAGATCTGAAAAGACTTCAAATCTGCAGCACCTAAATAAGTGTCATTTAGTGCTATATTTCATGTTTATTTTTTGTTTTAACTGTTTCCGACCTCAATACGATATTTAGAACAAGAGCTGATCTGAGGTTTACACTGGGGCGTTAAATTGACTGTAACCATAAGCCATCGATTCCTATGTGCACACTGCATCTACCTATTTATTTTTGTCTCTCTGTGGATAATTGCTGACTCCTCCTGACGAGTGGAACGAACAATTGCAAAAAGGTTCGTCTATGAAACTCTAGAGTCAAAGTGCTGAATATAACATCAGTTAAGTGACAAATTTTATATATATATATATATAGGAATAAAGTGTCGACACTGGATTTTGAACACAGATCACCAGAAAGCAAATACGGGCGATCCCATTTTGTATAAGTAGATCATGTGATGGTAATTGAAAATTATATATATATATATATATGTGTGTGTGTGTGTGTGAAGAATATACAGAAAATAGGAAAGAACTCGTTAGTTAAATAATCCAAAGTTCTTTAGTATTTTTGTTATTATTTTTTAAAAATAGTGCTCGATACAAAAGTAGAGACTAAATATAATTATTTATTTAAAAATATGATTCCATCGCTACATAAGAGTTCACGTAAATTTCAGAAATAAGTTATTGCCCCAAAAATTTCGCTTGAAGATGGAACGGAGCTTAGTAGTTTAATTCAATTTAATTCAAATAAATATATTGAAGTTTTCGGCTCTTGTTTTGAAACATGAGAACTCTTATGTAGCGTGTTGGAATCATATTTTAAAATAAATAATTTATATATATATATATATATATATATATATATATATATATATTAGTTAAACCTAGAGTGCCAGGCAAACCTACCAAAAGTTTCACCTAAGCGGATCGTCAGGGGCCAGCCTTCCTTGACGATCCGCTTAGGTGAAACTTTGGTAGCTTTGTCTGACTCTCTAGGTTTAACTTAGTCTGCTCTACTCATTGTATTGAGCACTTTATTTAGTTGTTTTGGGTACTCGCATCGGTTTTTTTTTTCTTTCGCCCTTGAACTCGTATGCTGGACGATTATTTTCGGCTAACGTACATGTTCTTGGTTCTTTCTTTTTTTTATACCTTTTTTCCACTTTGGTATTGGCTTGTTTAATTGCAAATCAATACACCAAAGGTTTTCGAGTATAGTTTTTATACTTATAAGATTTGTATTATATATATATATATATATATATATATATATATATATATATATATATATATATTATTTTAAAGGATGAGACAACAAAGGCGACGTTGTAATTTTGAGTTCAATCCCAGGTCCAGGTATTGAACACTTAGGGTCAACGTTTACGGGACCCAGCAATAGCTGATCCGCCATAAACAGGTAGAAGACGAGATCTCCCTAGAGAATAACGCAAGTAAAATCTCGTGTTGTTTCTACTAACACGCGAACACAGGGTCGTCGAGAAATAAAGGCATATAACCGTTTAAATGTTACTAATCGTCTATCTACTAAAAAATATATCAACACGGAAAAACCTAAAAAGTGACAGATTTGAACAATAAACATTAAGTATAAAACAGTACGAGGTGCCCAGTAAGGTTGATGCGCGAGTGTTGACGTATTTGCTCGCGCTGAGAAATCAGACAGCTATGTACGAATTGCAGTTGGGTTCGTTATATTCACTTACGCGCAAATATCCTTGAGAAAATCTTCTCCCCCCGCTATGGGTTAAATATGAAAAAAAATTGTATCTTACATAATCATTACTCTAAAAATAATGTCAGTGTAATACACACTCGCTATATAATAGGAATGGATTGGACACTTCGACATGGTGGAACTAGATGAGTTACGACTAAATAATGAGTTTGATCCTCACTGGGTGCCCCATATTTTCGGGCTTGTGCCACATCTAAGCTACGCCGAGTATACCGCTATATAACAGTAATGGTCTGGACACTTGGGCGTTGGTTAGCAAGTTTGATCTCGCCAGATCAATTACGACAGAGTAATAAGTTTGACTCGTACTGGATGCTCCATATTTTCGGCCTTGTGCCATATCTAATCTATGCATATTTAACGTATTATATTTTTACGCTTTTTCACCCGCAAGATGTCCCCGAATACGGGTTCGTAGAATCTGCAACGGCATGGCATTACAGGGAATATTTAAAAAAAATGTCTGCTCTTATTATCTTCAAGATTTTCGTTAATTTTTTTTTATACGTTATCCCTTCAGGACGTTGATGATCATGGCTTTCAAGAATGTCCTTGTCTTTTGTAGGTCTTAAGAGCTTATGTATTTTTGCCATTTCTATCAAACACTGTTCCGCCATTGATTCACTAAAGCTAGCCAGTGCGTTGCTTTCTTTTGTCACTTAGACCTTCAGTCATGATTGTGAGTATCAAATTTTCCAAGATCTCTTTCCTCATTATGTCAATTCCAATTGTCACTTCCTGAAGTCAAGCATCAGTATCATTTATGTTGTTATTGTCTCTAGAATCTTGCCGCTAATAACATGTTCAGTCAATGATATTCTCAGCATCCTTCTGTAGAACCATATTTCTGTTGCTTCAAATCACTTTTTGATGTGAAGAGATTGCGAACACAGATATGAATCGACATGGATAGGTAGATATATAATGAAAAATCACGTAATAATCATGAACCAATAATGATGAATAAGAATAGAAATTGATAGATAATAAACAAACTGAAATAAATATAAATAC